TTGCTTTTTGGATTGGCTAAAAGTAAAAGCATGTTTCACATATCGCCGCGTTGTCCCCAATCGATTGTCACATGCTTTCACCTTCTTCTGGAAAAAAGTACAAAACTTATGCAGCTTATGCGGCTACACCTTTGCTGCACGTAGCATCAATTCTAAATATGCTGAGGACTAATGGCTTGTCGTCAAGTAATCATCGCAATTTACTGAAGCTAAAGGATCTTCTTTCCTGCCGAAGTAACCTGGTAGTCGGCATTTGACTATAAGTCCATAAGTCTTGGTCAGTATGGTTATAAGTTTTAAAAAAAGCAAAAATAGAATACTTGAAGTTTTTCAAAACCTCTAGATTTCAAATCGATTTCTGCTTAGGGCTGCTGCTTTCTTTACATTCCATTAAGGCTAGCTGCTGGAACAGCAAATATCAGATTCTAGAAAACAAAGCAGCGACAAAGTTGCCTCTCCAACGTTTTAATTTTACCTTGATGAGTTTTTCTCTACTTGCCTTTCTTAGAAGTTGGAGAAGTTAATGATAACATCAAAACGGCGGCCCATCAGATTTAGAGGTCTCTCAAAAGCTGGTCGAAGTTTCTCACACTCGATTAGATTTGATATGAGTTGTAATCTTAGATTTGATATTAAAGGTCCATACTACCTACACTGAACGTTCAGTGTATCAGTGGTCACACGATTTGGGTCCTATCGCTACGAATAGAAGTTTATGGTCTTGGGTTACATTGCCCGAGTTCAGTTTTCTACCTTTAACTTAGCAAAGACAACTTCAATCTATAGCAAAGTTAAATTTGAGAGCGAAAACAAAGCTACCCAAATTATTAGGAAATGCTGCCATCAGAGTCGGCTTATTCATTGGCTGAGAGCTAGGCAATAGGAGCAGTAGACGATTAGTCCTAATACCGGGATGCCTTGTAGAGAGTATATGAACATTAGTACAGGTACCTTCTTTCGAGCTAAAAGTGATTAACAGGAAACATGAAACTTTCAAATGGAAGACCTTCCATAGCGAATTTTCTTGTAAGACCTTTTGAGAACCTTTGATGAGACTTTCTTCGTCGACTTTATAATCTCCAAACTACGATTGAGAAAATTTAAGAAGTCTCGAGAATTTTTCAAAAAAGGTACTCGGTACTTTTTTCTAAAGATTCAAGTATTAGCCAGATCCAGATAGTTCTTTCTGCGTTGAAGGCATAATTGACTGTCTCAACGGTTGATTTAGCTTTGTATTTCAATCATAGTTTTTACTGTACTTTCTAATGGGGACATTGCAATATATTTATTCTTAGCGAGGCAATTGAATTTCTATTTACCTACTTGCAAGTTAATGTTGATGATACATAAAAATGGCGTTAAGCTGCTAAAAAAATGAACCCAAGATGTAAATGAATATAGGTTTACGCACAGTTGTTGAATTTGCCGTCGTCAAAGTGTTGTTACAACTTAATTGGATTTTCAAATTAGGCTACATAAAAACATTTCCATGGAACAATGTGAAATTTTGTCCATTCAAAAAACAAAAGTTTCAAATCATATGTCACAGTATTCACTATTAGCTTTCCTGTATGCGTAATTGACCAACTCTCTTGCCTCACCATGAAGGAATACGTGGGATGTTGTAGCTCGTAAACAGAAGAACGGACGCAAAAGTAACGTTAGTTGCTCAAGGTGTTCCACGCAAAAAAAAGAAAAACTTTTCCCAACATTCATCGGCCTATTGAGTTTCAAGTGACTATTTACTTCAACCGGCGTAACTGTTCTATTCGTCTTTTAAGTGAAATTGGATGATTGTAAAATTGAAGTAGTGTTTTCTAAGTATAAGCATCTGAGGACCAAAAGAAATATCCCCGTATCTATGAACAAACATTTGTCGCTTATTAATACTCACAGCAAATTCTATAATCGGAGTTTATACTATAGACGATATTCTAGTCACTGTTTCACTATTTTCACTGTACTGCGTTTAGCACACACATCACTAAATTTACATATAATCTGTAGTAAGTAAAACAGCTGTTGATGGGAAGCCAAGACTTTCCGAGACTAAAGCCTTAAAATACTAACATTAAGGTTATCGGCACAAAAGATTTGAATCCACGACCATTGGGTTGTCAATCAAAAATTAATACAAATCATTTATTTATATAATTTCTTTATACACACGCGCTTTGCGAACACTTTCTGGCGCGTATAAATAAAGCATTAAAATTGACTCTTTTGAAAATTATTGGACCCAGAATTGAAATGTATTTTTTTTTACATTTTACCAAAAAACCATTTTACTCGCTCTTCGTAGATTAGTAATCATTAATATCACAATATGTGCAATTAGTTGAAGCAATCACTCATTAGCAATATTTGACAATGACGCAACATTTTTAAATCATCGAATGCTTGAAATATTAAACCTATCATTTTTATTTTGCCTAAATATCATCGTCTTGCTTGCCAATGCGCGCACATGCCGCGTTAAGGTTTAAAGTTTCCTATCTGTTCAAATATGGATGCATGATACACGATGCAAACGCATTTCTGTTCTTTTTAGTGCTTTTATATATGTCCTATAACAAGCTTTAATTTCCTGCAGCAACTTAAAACCAATAGTTTCTTAAGGGCATTACTATAAGCACAATAATTGCCTTCAACAAGCACTGCGAAAAAAAATGGAACAAAAATTCAAATTGAAATCAATCGTTTATAGTTCGTCAACTAGAGTCTGATCTTCGTGTATGCAGCTCACTCCTAGTTTGGTTAAGTAAGTAATGACAGGCAATATTTGCAACCTAGTGCATCCGATATTTCACCTGAATGTCATTTCACTGAGCACGAAATCGTTATTTAGTATAAATCTGCTTGAACGACTTCAGTAAATTCAGGATCAAAGTGTTATCTGGTGAGATTCTTTCAAATCTTTCCTTTTTCGTTTTTGGCTTTGATGGTGTGTCTTGTGGTGGAATCTTTTCGGGGAGCAGGGTATATTAAGTTTGTGCGGATACATGTAACATCCAGAAAGGCTTAGGATAAACTATTACTATATCGATTTAAGCCTGTCTGTCCGTTAGAATTAGGTCCATGTAAAGCGTTTTCAACTTACAAATCCTGTTTGAGATACCTTGATGAAATTTGGTACACTGGCATGTTCTGACCAAAGGACGAACCCTATTGAAAATGGTCCGGATCAGTCCGATTTTTCGACCCCTCCCTGTATAATGCCTTAATTTAGAAAGTGGTTATATGGAAAAGATATTGCATCGTCGTTCTAAATTTGCATGAATGATTTAGTTCGAAGAGGACAATTTTTCGCACTACTGTCATTTAACCGTTCCTATGAAAATTTAATCTTTATATAGTAAAAAGTTCTTTCTTTTCAGTACTTCATGGGGGAAATTATTTCATAAGAGTAAATTGACAAAGAAACCAATCTTACCGAATTTCGAACATATAAGCCTATTTTCCGAAGGCCACCGAATACACGCATACTCAGGAAATATAGGCCTTCGTATGTGAGAAAGAACTCATTGAATAAATGAAAATTTGTTCCTGATAGAAAGTTGACAGCAAAATTGAGTGGACAAAGTTTGAACCACTTCACGTCTATTTCTCGGGGTCTACTCCATATGAGATTTCTCATGAACAGTAAGCCATTAAATGTTTTATATAATGAAATTGGTCTATAGTAACAAGTTAAGCAAAAAAATTAACGATAGGGAATTTGGATAAACATAGGTCTGTTGTTTAGACCCCAACGAGTGTGGGAGTTTCCATGGAAAGCAAGTCCTTAAATGGAGAGAAAATCTAACCCCTAGTTTCCGATGGCGGAAACTGAAAAATAATAAGATCTTGGTGAAGTAAATTAAGTTTGTAAAATTTTGAATCGCGTCCGATGATGTTTTGGGTAATCTCCAATACGCGGGCTTTCAAGCAAAGTAAGTCTTCGCATGAAAATAATAGATAATTTTTGGTGTATTACTATCAAAACGAAGGGAACTGGTATATGGTGTTTAATTGGCGGCCTTACCCGACTATAATGTTGTTACTTATTTTTCATATACAAACTATCGGCTTTACAAATGCCAAAAAGAAATAAAGCAGAATACACCTACATATGAGTAAATCAAAAATTTGCTTAAGTGCGTGGTAGGGAAAGTGGCTTTGCTAGAATATGAAAGAATATGAGAAAAATTCAAACATTTTCTTATGGCTCTAAGTGCGAAGCTTTCAATCAGGGATCGGAAATCCTCGTGTCGCTGGGCATTGCCCAGATTTCTTCTTGTATTTGCATGCGTCCTAGGAAATATGTCTGTATTCTTGATCAGATTTAAGCGATGTATTCATGCCCACCTATATGTCTGCATATCAGTCACATGATTGAGCTTATAATTCTGCCGACCGTCACTTGTTATTGGGAGCCCTGCAGTGGCGTTGGGGAAGTAGGCTACGGCTGCCATTTTGAATTATTGGTCTCAAATCAATTTCTTAGATGGACACAACTCGTTCATAATTATGGTATAATGTCAACGAACCCTTTTTCTTTTTTAATGCGCAGTAATCCAATTCATCATAATTATATTATTATTATTATTTCAAAGCAAGATCTACTTCAGTTTTATTAGTACGGAGTGTATGTGCGGGTGTGCGTGTACTAATAGCCTTTTCCACTTCTGATTAACGAGCAATTAAAAGTAATTTCTTTTGATAAACCAAAAAAATTTCAATCTGAACAACCATCAGCCGGTGGTCATTAGGTCCTGTAATGTTTACCAAAATTGCAAAATATTTTTGCGGTTATTCTCTGTTTTTTACCGTCGCGATATTTGGTGTTCAAAGAAAATCATTTCAAATATTTTTCCACATCAGCACTGTTTTTTCGCTAATCATTGATGGCCCACGGGCCACCGGTTGGCGATCATTGTCTCAATTAATCTTTAAGAAATTTCTTTTATTTTATTTTTCCTTTTCTTCGGCTTCTTGATAAATTACAGTTATTATCGAAGATGATGAATAGTGACCATTATATGGAATGTCACACATTACCAGCAATCAATGAGACATTTTCGCAGTTTAGTGCAAGACCGTCGGCAACAATATCTGCTGCAGCTAAATTGATATATTCACCTTTAGATTTGTCATTGCGTGCTGGTCCGAATATTGCCCCCATAACTCCACCAACAACACCGTCGCCACCAAGGAAACGTCACAGATTAATGTCAGAAGAAAATTACTTGTGGCGGCCGCATGTGCCGGCCAGAACGTCACCCTCAATTTCCACATCCGCTTCAGCTTCAACATGTACGTCCACAACCCCGGCTTTGCTGGAATACACTAATCATTATTTGCACGGTATGTGTTACCCAAAACGTGAAGGTTTCTATCCGTCAATGTCTGAAGACGAAGTATGCAATCACAGCGACGTACCTAATTATCTTGCAGCAGAAAACAATTTTTGTGAAATACCAAAAAGTCAACGGTCCGTTATGATGTTATCAACTAAGGATAACGAACAAGAGCAAGAAGAACACCATCATCATCATCATCAACAAAAACAGTCAGATATAAGTGCAATTTATGTTGACGATGAAACGATTATATTGACCGAAGATGACGACGATGACGAGGACGATGATGGGAAAGAGGAAGACGAAGAAGACGAAGAGGTAGAAAATGAAACACTTGTCAGTTCGCAAGAGTTTACTGACACTAGAGACATAACAGAGGAATCCAGTGAATTTACTGAAATTGCAACAACAACATCATCATCAACAACAACAGCAATAGCAGCAACTAAAACATTAGGAAAAATTCGCCAAGAGTTAGTCGATGATGAAGCAAAATCCACTGTCAACGTTGAAGAAGAGGAGGAGTACGTGGATATTTTGAGTAATGACGATGACGAGCTAAATCCTTTAGCGTCGGGTGCCAATACAATACTAAGATTACAAAGTCAAGCTGAGCTGGAGCAAGAGCTAGAAAAGTCCGGCAAAGTCTTGACACGTAATAAGTTGATCTACGACAATGAGGAGATGCACAATAAGGCTGTAAATGGTTTGGACAAGCTATTCAATAGAGATTTTCAAAGGCTAACGGACAATAATGATGCGGCAGAACAAAACGTTGCTAAAGATACGAAGAAAACTTACATAGACTTAACGAACTGTCAACGGTCACGAGAAACTTATGAACCGCCACAGCAAATCGTAGCAATAGAACAAGAGAAAAACTATTATTGTTTACCGTCGGCGATTGGTATGGGTTCGTCGGGGAGGCCATCATATAAAACACATAAAACAGAACGTAAGCGCATGAAACTACGTAAACAGATGTCGCTGGATGAGGAAACATTAAGTCCCGTTTCCGGCACTATAATACGCAAGTTGCGTGACGACGAAGAGTTGGTGGTGCGTAAAGGTGACATTGATCCGGCTTTCAATGTAGTCGAAGTGACCGAAGAAGCTAAAGCGATTTTAGCAAGCATTGACAATAAAATTGGAGCATACCTATGTCAACTCTGTCGCACTTTATACGACGATGCGTTTAAATTAGCGCAACATCGTTGTCCGCGTATCGTTCATATCGAATACAAATGTTCCGAATGTGATAAAGTGAGTGCTTGTGTAAATTGTGTATTTAAAAAAAAATCCATTATTTAGCTAATGCGCGATTTCTTATGCAGGTTTTCAATTGTCCGGCTAATTTGGCTTCACATCGCAGATGGCATAAGCCCAAATCTGAGATATTGGCCAGCAGTCAGTCCAAGAAGCGTTTAAATCAAAACCATTTCTCTGATCATATTAATGAGACTTCACAACAACAAAAACCAAGCACAGATGACGTTGTTGATGGAATATTCCCCTGTACACAATGCGGCAAAACATTTCGCCGGTAAATTTAAGTCTTTTTTATTTTTCTAAATACTTTCATAGCCACTATCAAGAGATGAAAGAATGCTGCAATTTCCTTTTCGTTGGTAATGCCTGGATCTAAGCACCAAATACCCGTAAATAATATATATATGTACATATATAGTCTTAATTACGTTGAAATTTCAAGGCAAGTTAGTTATGCGTAGTCCGCCGTACATCTAAATCTGTCCATCCATCGCAATCTGCGCGTTTGCATTGTTTCCGAGCAAGGATGACTGAATCTTTTACTTTTAGCCGATGGTCCGAAAACAGTTTCATAGATAGGCGGATTAATCCACGTCTGCAAAAAATCGTAACTGGTAGTCGATAACAAACACAGAGCTCAACTGCGAAACACGACATCTCGCTCAGGGCATATAGTGTCGCTTTTATTCCTCGCTTAAAATGATGGGCGTTCAAGTGTTCGCGCTTTACGAAGGCGAATATATTTTCAGTATTTCTTCTTCTTTTAATTTCAGTAATGCTTATCTGAAAAAACATCAAGCTTCTCATCAGATGTTGGACAATTTAAAACATCTAGATGTGTTTAAAGGTCCAAGGAGAGACAACCCAAACACTTTCCAACAATCTCCTCAAATTTTTGGTTGCTCTGCGATAAACCCGAACCAAAGAGGTAACAATAGCGCTTTGTATTCGTCGTTTGGATCTCTACACGCCTCTCGCCCTTATCCAACTCGTTTTGGAGCCTTGCCGTTCAGTCCCCCGTTCGATTACAGACGTTTCTACTCATTAGGTGAACTGTACTTAACTCAGCAATTGGATCGTTCATCAGCCTTTCAATACGTTCATGCTAACCATTTGCGTAACTTAAACAATATGGCGAACGTAGGCAATTTTATTAATCGTCCAATGGCGAATTCACCTTTAATGCCGCTACCGGTGAAATGACAAAATGTTCTACGTCCCGTACCTAGGATAGCATTGACGTCAACTGTAACGGCAACAACGACCCTTCAACGAGATTTAAGCTGCACCCAAATATCGAAGCTATCTAACGACACAGTCATACCGTCAACGACTCCATCATTATCCTCCTCCCCGACAACAGGAACATTCAATTGGATATCATCGCCGAATAGACCATTCAATATCGATAGAACTAATGCTCAAATGCCTGATAAATTGTAAATCAATTCATAGGAAACTTTCGATGATAAATTCAATTTAGTTAAAAGCATAATTTAAATATATTCAAGTCATTGTTAGCCAAATACTACACAATAAATAAAATTTATTGCAATTTCAAAAATTAATAAAATAAAAACAAAAACAACAAATTTTTCATTTCAAGACTTCATAAACGCGTTTGTAATATTAATGAGCATGACACTGGCCTAAGGGAAGCGAATCTGTCTACCATAAAATTTTTTATTAGTTTCAGACAATGTAGGAGACTTTTGAAATTCTTGCGCGTATATACTCGAACATGGTCTACAGCTAGCTCTAAAAAACTGGATTCCATGGAATCACTTTGAATAGTTTCTTCAGAACCCCTTCGATGGCCATCTGTTAAAACGAACAAATAAGAAAATTATTCGTATCTTTTATTTCCATCATCGTTAACCTAAAAAAGACTTAAAAACAGGAAAAGCACCGAATATCATATTGTAAAATGTTTGAATACCACGTGAAAAAAAGAAAATGGAAAGCAAATTTATTGTTGTTGCATAGGCATGTGGGCATTATGAGATTGCCCCTTGAACGGTTTGGATCATTTTCAAATTATTTTCCAAATTTCTCGGCGATATCTTAATTTTTGCGAACGGCAGATGCTATGTATTTGGGCAAACGGACGTATGGACACGCGAATATGCTTAGGTAATTCCGAATTTGAAACTGGCCAAGAATTTTTATACCGTATAGGGTCTTTGAACCTTGCTAGGCGCCTAGCCTTTGCAAACGTTTTGAGATAGACAACGCGATCGATTAACTCGATTTTCCTTTACCAACTAATCAAAAGGACACGCGACGCTTTCTAGAGCGTATCTTAAGTCTTCGCTACCCATCTCCAAACTAAATGCTAACAAGTTTTTGGCCTCCGATAGTGCGAGTAATCGTCGAAGTCAAAAGGGCAACGGGCTCTACGATTAGATCAGGTTATTGCAGATCATCAATAAGATTTTATCGATAATTCGAACTATATTTTCTAAAGGTTTTCGCCCGTTTTGAACAACTCTTTTCATATGTATTTCATTTATTAGTCGTGTAAATTACGTAATGATTTCCCAAATTTGATATTTATTTATTTATTCCACTTATACAAGAAACTCAACTAAAACAAAATGGCAGTCGAGTTCAATTGACTCTTAAGTAAATCTTAAAATTAATTAATAATAAAACTTAGTATAAGTACAATAAAACAAATAAGGGGGATAAAAAAGAAAAAAAAAAAAAAGCATGTACACAACTAGCATAGAGCCACACCCACAACCGATACAGGACCAAATTGCAAGTGAACCCCTAAGCCATCGCAAACATGCATAAGCTTGGCAACCGATAATTGTTAACAACAAATTAATTTTCGACTCATAATGACATATTTGAGGTTAAGTCAGTTTAAGTACGACATAGGTAAATCGCGCGTATTAAGCAATGTTGCTTTAATGGACTTTAAAGAGTCCGTTAATGAGAATAAATGATAGAAGTCATTTAGGTTCTTGCAAACAACTTGCAATTGTAGAATAAAACAAAAAAAAGTCAAATTAAATGCAAAATATATTTGAAATATTATCCACAGGCAAATATCTTTGTCTCTTTAAAATTGTTTCAATAATTCATAAGAGTATCATTTTTTATAAAATTGTTATAAACATGTTTTCATAATATCCATGCTAAACGACTAAGGGTAATGGATTTCATATATTTCCGGTGTGGCATGTTCATTTCAAATGTCAATAACATGGAATGCAGTAAATGATAAGAAATCGAACTGAAAATTGAATTGAAGGAAACTTTAAATTCATTCACATTCATTTCAGTCGAATTCGAAAACATCTACATATCATGGACGTTATATCTGCGTAGATTTATGTAGATGTCAGTACGTGTGTAGTTGAAGTGCATCAGTTCGCTTTTCGAACATCGGTCAGATTAGTTTCGTATTTAGTATTAAATCTGGTCGATAATGAATGAACTAAACAGCAGACAAAAGCAAGGATCTCCTCCCGGGGATACTTATCCTCCTTTAGGAAAATGTATATAAAAATGGCAATGACAATAACAATGACCGCATGTATTCGTGATAGACAGTTAATTGGTTAAGTTATATCACATTAAAGCGAGCATAATTAAAGAAAGGTGTAACGTCTTTTTGCTTTTTATTTTCTCGATAATAAAAAGTTATTAACTAAAATAGAATCTTACCAAGTTGGTTCACAATGCAACGTGACGATCTCCAATGAGTTACTTAAGTAATATTGCAAAAAAAGCAAGCCCTCACCAGCTTTATTTAAAAGAAAAAAAAGGAAGAAAATTACATTCGGTCTTGACCGAACCTTTCATATCCATTACCGTTATCTTAAAAGAGATGAAAAAGTATGAAAACTAAATATTCGTGCTCCACAATATGAAGTAAGCGCCACTGATTTTTTCTGCTTGTCGCAAAGGCGTTTTCTTGGAAAAGTTTAAGTCATAAATGAACAGGCGAAGCGACGCATATGCTTATTTCTGCTCCTTGTAGAGGTGTTAAAAAAAAAAACTAAATGTTGATAAACTGTAATATTGAGTAGGCGTGGTCAATTTTTTTCACTTCTGTGGAGGTACTAGAGTTCCTTTAATAGAAAAACACAAGGAATTTCAAATTTCTGTAATATGAATAAAACAAGTATGAATAAAACTATAGAAATTTGAAATTGTTTGTGTTTTTCTAATGAAGAAACTGGTTTAAGTTTTATTCATACTATAGAGTAAATAAAAGAGTAAGAAGATCGACGACGTATGTATTGACCAAGATTGCTTTTGCAGGGAGCTTTTAAGTGGGCTTAATAAATGAATGTTCGTATATATCATGGAATGAAATCTTCTGCTAACAATATTCGAATAATTTGAAAGCCTTCTTTAGGCCTTTCTTTCGTCTCTTTTTAGCAAAGTTTTGCTTCCGAAAGGCACCGATTTGTAATTGAATTGAAAAGTATTTATGCCACATTTATGTTATTGCTTTAAGTATAACAAGCAGACGGATAAACGGAAAATGGAATGAGTGATCAAACATACGCACGGATTGACATATTGGCGAACGGATTAACTGATAAAAGGAGAAAGGATTGAGTGATCAAACACACTTACGGATTCACAGATTGGCGAATGGATTTATTGTTTACAAGTATATAGACAAGCGACATGGCCTAGTGGATATGCATGTGCAGGAGCAGACGATGCAATCGAAATAAGCATTATAAAATTTTTGTTGTTTCATTTATGATGTTTGGATGTATATAGTACTTCCTACAAGCTTTATATATATATGTAAATAATCTTGGATCTAATAGTAACATTGTAATAATATAATCAATGGAAAATTAGGTAAACGCAGGCAATGACAGACAAATCGAAGAGCGGAACGGACGAACAGACAGGAAGGATGAAAGATCGTTATGTAAGAAGACTAGTAACGGACGACTGAGTGAATAGCGGACGTACATATAAGCAATTGAAGCGGTGGGCAGGTAACCGAAAGGAAAAGAGTGCATAACCCGGCGAACGAACGGACGGTCGAATAGACAAAAAGGATACAGAAACATAAGCGGAACGAGAAACCAAACAATAGGTGTTTAAAAGCGTGAGTAGGTAAACGACTGCAAAATAAACATTTGAATGAACGAATCGATATATAGACACATATATAAGGACAGATGGACTGATGAGCGAAAACGACTGAGTATGCTACAGCCAACATGAGAGCATACGTTGTATGAAATTGCGTCGAAAAGAGAAAGCTTGCATCCCCATCCCTACTGCCTATGGCAGGTATAAAAATGCTCTTTGAACTATAAAACAAAAATATGAATGCATAACTTCAAAGTAAACCAACAACAAATCAAAAGTGGACAGTTATTATGAAATATGGTAGAAAAAAACAAAACTTATTAGGGAATATTTGATTGCTGTGCATATGTTTATATGCCTTTGACAACATGACAATTTATTGTTTACTTTAAAAAGCGTTTTCAATCCTCGACCCCGAAGAGTTTAATAGAAGAAAAAAAAAAGAGGCAAAAAGAAAATCACAATAATTGTAATAACATTTGTCATATGTTTGTATATGTGTTAGAGCTATTTTGACTAATTGAAAATAAATATTTAAAATAGCACGAAACTGACAATTTCATAAACGTGGCAATAATTGGTATGAAATAAAAAGGAATGCGAAAGGTTTATTAGAGCACATACACTCACACATATATTTACATGTTCTCTATGAGGGAGCGTGTACGTTCATAACAATTTTCGACTTCAACCCAATACAGATAGTTGTATATCAATTCATTCAACTAACGGCCACGAGGTACAGCGATCATTGGATGGACTGTTTAATAAAACTACTCCCGATACTCTTTGCCCAATGTACAAATGTCATTGGGTGAACAATTTGCAAATACTATTAAAAGCCTTTAATAGAAATTTACTTACACAAGTACATGCACTTACCGCAATATATTTCAATCATGGATACGAACTAACTCCTCGTTAATTATTATATATAATGTTGCCTGGCTGCTATGCATGCATGCACGCATGTATGCATACGACGATTATTTAGTTTATAACTATTAATAATTCTCACATATTGCAATTGGGTAAATTATCAAATTAATTTTTAATTGTTTTGGCATTAATTGCTGGTATTTAACCTTTTCCCTCTGCATTACAATTGCTGTCTGTTATTCGCATTCATTTGCG